TGGAGAAAGATAAAATTAGAGACAAGAATACTTGCCTTTCTAATCGATACAGAATCTGAACATGTAACAAGCAAATTGACTATACTTTTACATATGCTTTCCTCATGGGGCCTGATATAATCAGCAAAGCTCTTCAACAGATATGTTAAAAATGAAACTGTCTGCAACAGAAGAGAAACAAACTAGTAAACGACTAATGAAGAAAACACTGATGAGTGGACAAAAACATGAGATGATATGTAAGAAAGAACAGTGCCCCGCTCACAGAATTTAATACATATATATTCAGCAAAAACACCTGCTTACCTTCACCTGTGCACCCTTCAACTCAATGAAATGAGTCCTCAAATGCAGAGGAACCTTTTCAGGGCCAGGAACAGATATAGCAGCAACCATCAAAGGCAAGAGGTGAGGAATATTGGTCTGCACAAGTCGACTATACAACTGAAACAAAAACATGACCACCAGGGGACTCTCGGTAATTATCTTGAAAGAACGGGTACTGGGGTTAAGCTGCCCACCCCCAGCATACCCACTACCACCAATACCACCGCCGATACCACCGCCAATACCACCGCCAATACCACCGCCGATACTACCGCCTCCAATACCACCACTCAATGATTGATCTGAAGAAGTATCCATCGGCTTAATATCTTCCCCGCCCACCACCCCATTTTCAAAGAAATGGTTAACAGTCAACTTAAAGTTCTGGTAAACCTTGCAAACAAAGTCCAAGAATGGCTGAACTTCATTTTCCAGAGTAGGCCTAAAGTTCCTGAGGAGGTCGAAGATTATACGAATACATATCAAGCCATTCTCTTCGTTGTCAGTAGTAAGTACATGCATTGCAACCTTCAAGAGCTCCTGGACAAAAGGACGGAGTACTTCACTGTGGGGGAGACGATTGAGAATCTCCACCACTATATTCCGGAGCTTGTGTTCGGGATTGTCAGTAAACTGTGGCTTTGTAATTTTCTCAAGAATCGTTGAAAATGCTCTAAAGTAGCATTTTAGAAAATTCAAGTATTCTGCAGTGTGTGCAATCTCTAGGCTGTCCCGAACCTCCATTGCCATCTGAAGCCTTGCCTGAATTGCTGTTCCAAATAAAAACGAACAATAACATCTTAAAGACCCATCAATCAAACTTGGTTGAATCAAAAATAAGCTTTATCTATCATAGTTACTTGGGTCCGAAAACGGAGGCTGTGTTTGGTTTACTAGACATGCACTAACGGGAAAATGTTAAAATTTCAAGTCTTCAATGCACAGGAAGACGAATTTTTGTCAATTTAAATGGCCGATTAAATTCAATCAAATTATTACTAAAGGAGGTTTAAAAGCTCAAAAACATAGTTGAATTATGCTTCACAGATAAATATACGTATATCCATATATCTATATCTATATATATATATAGAGAGAGAGAGAGTACGGAGGTCGGGCTCGACGAGACGCCGAGCATGTTGCTCGAAATTCTGAACAGGACTCATGGGCTCAGTAGCACGAGCACAAACCACCCAAAAACCCTAGCTTTCCCGGGAAGAAACACAAAACGCACAGCTTCGAGACTCAATCCCCACAATTCCAAACTAAACTGCTTCTACAGCGCGACCCTGCGAACTCCTGCTTCTTCCACTCCAATTACCACACTCCAAGCAAAACCCGGAGCTCCGCTACTTGCTGCAGTGGCTGAAATAGGAGGGATCGTAGAAAAAGGGGATTGAATTTTGAATGTTTGGGAAATTAGGGTTTTGGAAATTGGTGGGAGTAGTTCGTGATCGTTCTAATTTCCGTAATGGTTAAGCTATTTACGCTAACAGTGTCTCTGTATTTCTGTCCCTGTCAAAGACTCAGGTCCTTCGGGGAGGACTCGACAATCGACATTTGAGGGGAAATGCGCTTTAGTGGTCTTTTGGGGACGAAGGCCTTTCTATATAGTGGTTTGACGAAACTGTGGAATGTTAGAGGCCCAAAAACTTGGATGTGGCCCATTTTAATATTTTGTCATAATTTTCTAATATTTGTGGATCTTCTTTTATTTGACCATTTTAAAATTAGAGAGTTTTAACGAAAAACCCATGATACTGTTCACTTTAACGAAAAACCATATTTTTACACTAAAAAATCAAACCGATACTATTTACTTTACCCTTTATTTTGTTCTTATAGTTAAAACTCAAAGTTTTCAAACCATTTTCATTAGTTTTCCTTTAAAATTATTACTAAGTGAGGTTTAAAAGCTCAAATAATTAAAATAATTAATGTATCGGCCCATTAAATTCAATCAAATTATTACTAAAGGAGGTTTAAAAGCTCAAATTATTACTTATGGATCTTCTTTTATTTGACCACTCATGGTTTTCTAATATTTTGTCATAAGAAAGAAAAAAAAATTAAGAGTAATATTTCAGAAAAGGAAAATAAAGAATAATGCTTAGTGAAATTTTAACGAAATTTTGAGTGCGATGTGTGTAAAAATTGGCCATTTAAAATAATTAATGCCAAAATTGACTAAAACATAAGTTTATCAGAACATCGACAGTTAATACAAGTTCATGAGAGGAAAATAATAGGAAATGGATAGCAAGATTTAAGTGGTTCATCTCTCAAAACTAGGCTATATGTACTGAGTCTCTTTCAGTATATTGAATATGAGGTTAGAATTAGCGCTCAGCTTAACACATTAATTTATCCCTTTATCCCTCTCCATTCCTTTGACCCCTTTCAAAAAATACTTGTCCTCCTTATATAAGGCCTCAATGAGCCATCAGTCTTTGGGCTCAAGCCTATCACTTCATTTGCAATTAATGCACCAAATATACAAATTTGACCTGCTAGCTGTCCTTCCGTTTGGCGGACACATGGTAACGAGGTGACATTTGTGCAAGTCTACTTGCATGCTTTATTGGGACAACACAGCTGAGCGCCTTGCTCGGGGCTCTGGGGTTGGTGGAAATCCACACCCGAACGCCCTACCTGTCAACTTTTATGTTCCTTCGTATGCTTCTGTTCCGTTAGCTGACTGTCACGTAGCCTGGAGTTTATGTCTTAGTAAACATGCCCCTTTGCTCCTGGGACCTTGTGCCATAAAGCTGTCAGTGCACCAACTTACCCTTCAGCGATTGAAAGTACTTTATGTGAAGCGTTCGGCCTAGTTGTTGATAGGACATTTGGAGGCCATTAGCTCCCAAAGTGCTTTGGACCATTCTTCCAAATACGTCAGGTCGAGACCTTCTTTTGGACCGGTGTTCCTTTGTGCCTCTTGGGATTAGATATTATTGTTGTATAAACATCGTAATGGTACTAGAGTAATTTTAAATTTATTTTCTTAAGTTGTTTGATTTACAAATTAGGTTCCTTGGAATTGAAACTACCATTTTCAATCACGTGTTTGGAGACGGTGTAAAATGCGACCAAAAAGTATTGTTTTATTCCATTCCCATATTTAGTAATCAAAATTTATTTCCAATAATAATATTGCGTTAAATGCTTCTCCAAGTAGACGGAAATTTCCCAAGAAGAGCCAAGCGTATGAATCTTCCCTCCCCTGCATAGCAAGTTCATATATATCCATGTGGCAATTATCACATCGCCACGAAGTAATACGGTAGCGTCGGAGTGCAAAGTTGTCCTACATTATTTGGTGAGTAAATTGTAGCTATGGTTTCTTAACTTTAACTTAATTGAAGCAATGATCCCTCAACTAAAAATCCATTACCATTGGTCCCTCAACTCATCAAAACATGCAGCTATGACCCCTCAACTAAAAATTAATTACCATTGGTCCCTCAACTTTCATTCAACTGGAGATATGATCCATTAACTTTAACCAAATTGTAGCAATGGTTCTTCCAACATAACTCATTTTGACAAAAATTTTGACGTAGTTGACAAAAAGACCATAATTACACACTTTGATGAGTTGAGGGATTATAATTATATAAATGGTTATTCCAATATAACTTATTTTGACAAAATTTTGACGAAATTGATGAAAATGATGAAAATGACTATACCTACATTTTGATAAGTTGAGGGACCAATGGTAATAGATTTTTAGTTGAATGACCATTGCTCTAATTTGATTAAAGACCATTGCTCTAATTTGATTAAAGTTGAGGGACCATTGCTACAATTTACTCTTATTTGGTCGGAGCGCTCTCTTGAGTTTATCAAGTACGAGAATGGTATCTCAAACTCTTTTATAGGACTCTGCAGTTAATTGCACGCTTCTTAAATTGTACCACACGTGTTTAACAATGAAGTAGTAACAATACATATGATAACCTATCAAGAATTGTTATTAGCACTTCATAAAAAACCTTATTATGCACTAAAGTATATTTTTTCTTAGAAATACATAAAATCTGGAGTGCCAATAACGATTTCATTTAAACATTTATAAAACTTGAAATTTTTTTTTTCCATTACAAGCGATGTTACTATTCTAAGCATATGAAACGGAAAGAGAATGATTCAAATATGCATCACCAGATTGTTCTACTTTCATTTGTCCAACCAAGCAGCCAATTTTATGCCACTAAAGCTTCATGCAATTGAAGATTGGTCTTGAACGTGATTAGAAAGAGAACTAGGATTTGCAAGATTTAACTTTGATCCGCCTATGAACTTTGGCTCAGATCATGAATTAGTGATTGCATTCAATCTTCAAAAGATCCCAATTATTTCAAACTTTCTCCATTGGGAATGAAACTTTTATGGAATCCTCATGAATACAAAACACAGTTGGTTGAAAAAGAAGACATTATATGCTAGAGCAATCTATCTAAAGACACATTGAATTTTTGTTAGTAAAAAGGATGGAGCCTAAATTATTGCTAGAAGTCAAGAACTAACAAAATGATCAAGATGGTCCAACCACCCTTGTCAACTTCAATTAACAAAATTCAGTGAAGTGGACGCCAAGGAAACAAAACCCCTCATATGATCATTTTTCTTAACTTCTTTTAAGTAGAAAGCTAATCTTACACCACACCATCCGCTTCCAACGACCTCCGGTTGTAGCTACAGCCCCCGTTTTGAAACTTGTATTAAAAGGCCCTTCACACATCAACTCCACCATTAATATCTATCATTAGTTTGCCTAACCATGAATGCCGACGAGGGTAAACTGGTGGTCATGGGCCGGGCAGAGATTGACACCCGAGCACCTTTCCGGTCAGTCAAAGAAGCAGTTATGTTGTTCGGCGAAAGAGTTTTGGTCGGAGAAATATATGCCAATAAACTCAAAGAGGTGATCTAGCTAGCTAGCTTTGCTCCTTTAACTATTTGAGTTTTTGGAATTAAATGTTAAGAGTTGTCCCACATAGGTGAGGGACAAGGTTTGCTATGTGCTTATATGGTTTTGGGCTACTCTCCATATTGCCAATTGGTTTTATGGTGGAACTTCAATTGCATCATGGCTAAACCCCGCATTTTCCGTGGGTATGAGCGTATTCAAGTTCTTCGTGCACCCACAGATCACGTACTAGAACCATTCCTCCATCACCACCCTTTGAAACCCACCCACCATTCGGATCACGTCACCCGTTTTCATGTCAGCGACTGACCGAAAACCCGTCACCACCAAACCATTTTACTTGAATTTCATTTCTCAATATTCAACTTTTTTGTCACATATTATGAATTTATAGTGTATTATTTTCTATGTTAGATTGGAGCTGCAGGGTCAAATGACACTAATGGACATGCTGCTCCGTCGAGGATCGAGGTCTTAATGGCCGAGCTCGAAGAAACAAAGAAAAGTCTACAGAAAGTTAGAGAAGAAAACAACTTAATGGCATACAGCATCAAGTCACTCAGAGAAGATCTTGAACATTCAAAACAAGAGCTCCACAAGTACTTGAAGGCAAGAGAGTTTGATGATCAGAAGCACCGAGTTGATCCTGAGATTGAAGAAGATTTTAAGTTCATCGCGACCGGAGACACGAAGTTTGAAACCAAAAAAATGTTGAGCCAAGAGGCTGAGGAATTTGTGCAGAAGGAAAGACATGTGAAGTTTGCAAGTCCTCCTTCGTTGGCTCAGGTTATTGTTAACAAAGAAGGGTCGCATGAGGGATATGAAAACCCTAGTTCTGTTAGAAAGCCAAATAAGAAGAAGCCTTTGATGCCTATGATGATTGGGTGGCTTTTTCGCAAAAGTAAGGCAATTCAGGAAGGTGGGTCTCCGAGGGCGTAAGGCTCCCATGAGCGAGAAAGTCTTGTGTACGATTGACGCATGCAATCTCTCTCTCTCAAGGGGATGAGATTACAGGTGGAAACGAGTGAAACAAAAACATAAGAGCTCTGTTTGTGTGAATGTGGTAGGAAATAAGCATATTAATAAACACTTATGTAATAGTCTAACGATCAAACACCACATCATTTGGTTTATAAATTTAGTTTAAAATTTTTGATATTTCTAGTATTATCCCCAATCTTTTAAGAACTATATGATGTGACGGTTAATTGTTAAATTTCTTCTTTAAATTATTAAAAATGAAATTCAACCATCAATTGAGTGAATAAGAAGGATAGAACTATTAAGTTTATTTATTTATAACTTTAATGTTGTTATGACACTTATGGCATGAATTCCATTGCTATCTATTGTTAACGCAAGTACTCCCTCAATATTTTTTATATACAAAACTAGCAACAAACAGAGCGACAACAAATTGGTAGCATGGTGGAGACATTGACCCCCCACGAACCCTAGTTACTGTGCTCCATCTCTCACATATATACCCCAATTCTTTATTATTTGTAATTTATTTAGCTTCCCACCCAGAAATTTGGGAAATGCTTTTGCTCACTACCAAAGAGATGGTGAGTCGGTGACAATGCCATCACTCTATTAATTATCGTTTCATGAGTTAGTATTGTTCTCCTAAGGTTTTCATTTTGAGGACAGTAAGAACTAAATGCATATTAATCATAAGATTATATTAGTTTAGATTCAAATGTTTAAAATATTCGACAACTTGATAAAGCAAAATCAACTTAAAATCCATAAACCATTTAGAAAATTCATTTTCTTGTTTTGCTTCATTAAGTTGTCAAATATTTTAAGCCTTTAGATATAAATTAATATAATCTTGTGGTTAATATGCATTTGATTTTCATACGTCTTCAAAATGAAAACCTTAGAAGAGTGTGACTCTTGATGAGTTTGATTAATTTATTTACCATAAAAATTTCGAAACTAAACTAATATAATGATAATCAATATAGGGTGATCAGCACCGCACCACTTTAGAACAATGAGCTAAAATGCACGCAGAAATTTGTGGAAGCTACAAACGCAGTAACTTGGGGTTGTGGTGGTAGTTCACAGAATTAAACAAAAATGATTGTCCTTTAATTTTTCCTGGCCGGTAAGTCGGCGGAATCGAACAGAAACCATGCAGTTGTTATATAGATTTGATTAAATTATGTGCCTTGCACATGAGTCCATGTGAAGGTCATCAGTGATGAAGACAACTTTTATTCAAGTAACATGCATGCATGGTTATAGTACTCTGCTTCGTCCCAACTGCCCCATACAAACCAATATATATAAATGTTATTATTTTTTCGGATAGATGCATATGCTGAATCTAAATAATCGATTATGTCATTGTTTAATATCACGGTCTAATGTTGTTATTTTTTATTTATAAGTGTGAAATCTTAAATTTGATTTTAGCCAAATATGTATAAGGTCGAACCAATTTATTATTGTTAATCCATTGTGAAGAGAGCACACTTCCCACCATTACGTAGATAATATCTAATATATTAAAAATATATCGGTTATGTTGATTATTACTTGAATGTGTCTTCTAACAATTTATGCTCATAAACACTTTTATTGACAACGTTTTTGTTAGAAACACCACCAAATTTGATATTGATTCTCTTTAATTAAGTCAAGTATTTTTATTATTTGCTTTTCCAAAAAAAAACACAAAAAAATACTCAACGATCCATGAAGCACTAGATTTTCTGTCTAAAGTTATCATAAGCGTTTTTTGTTATTTGAAACTCACGGTGTAATGTGAAGAAGTTTGATTTCCATCATAAAACCAATTGACAATGTAGGAGGTAGCTTAATTACTTATAAGCACATATAATGTCCCTTCTCTCTCTGATGTGGAATTAATACTCTCAGCACACCCTGTATGGCGAATTTTCAAACCTAACACGTGGATAACACAAATTGAATGACGTGGAGTATAGAATATAGATGGTTGTTGAGCATCGCATGCACATAAAACAATTTGCTCTGATACAATGAAAAAAAAGTTGAAGTTCCGGTGGAACTCCAACTTTTTCAAAATGAAACCAAGTTTTGCAAAGAAAACATTACCAAACAAACCAAGTCAAACACATTGTACATAAAAACAAACATAACATACACACACACACAAATCCTGAGTTGTCGTCCCATGCAAACAGATTCTCTTATAAATATAGTAGCTAGTACTCTCTCATGCTTCAACGACCACAACTGAATTAAGAATTTCAGACACAGAGAAACCAAGAGAAGGAAGCCATAGAGCAAACTAGCAAGTTCCAAGAAAACTATGAAAACCCATCTATGCATTCCAAGGATGAGAAGCAACAACCCCTCATGCACAAACAAGATCAGCAAACGTCTGTCTCCCATGACTCTCCTCGACCGGTTTCGCGAGGCTGTTTTTCGCTTGATCATGTTGTCGGCAGTCTCTTCCAACAAGACGGCGAGCCACGGTGGCCGATCTAGTGCAGATGTGCAGCGGTATTACCGTCCAAACGACTCTCACCGCACCGAGGCCGTCGCGGATTGCATTGAGTTTATCAAGAAGAAGGCTTCGCCGGAGGACCAAGACAGCCGCGGCTCTTCTGCTAGTGCTAGTAGTTCCGTTGATGGCGCAGCGGATTGAGACATGGTCATACCTGTGCTAGTTATGTGAGATTTTAGTTATTTAGTGTTTGATTTATCTTGAATTTGTGAGATGTGAGAGTAGATATTGTTCATGTACCAATTTATTTCTACAGAAAGTGTTGGTTGAAAATGTTAGAGTGAAGTGAATTGTAAATTATTGATATGCATATTTACAGGGAATTGATTCTATATTCATAATTCGTTAAATTTGTTATTTATTATAAAAACCAGCTGAATAATAGTAAACTCTCATAATTTTGGAAGAGAGAATAAATATGCACCAAATACTCAAACGAGTTAAGCAGATGACGTGTTATCGTAATGGCGAAAAACAATTATGTATATGCATCATAGTGCGGGTTCGATCCCCCACCAATTCTTCTTCCCATAACAATTAACTATTTAACCTATTAACGCTATTGTTTGTTACAAAAAAAAAGGAGTCAAGCCAAATATCCATCGTTCCCATACCATTGTTTAAAAGGAAAACTAATGAAAAGAAGCTTGAAAACTTTGAATTTTAACAATAAGGACAAAATAAATGGTAAAGTGAAAAGTACCATAATTACTTTTTAATGTAAAAATGTGATTTTTTTATTAAAGTAAATAGTACCGAAAGTTTTTTGTTAAAGTTCCTCCATTTAAAATGTTGAAAATTAAAACGTATTTATTGTTTAAGTATCATATACTGACCACACTTCACTTTTTGGAAGCATAACGGTGATATTGCTATGCTAAACCCATTTCCCTAAACAAATACAAAGGTTCCTCAAAAAAAAAAAAAAAAAAAAAAAAAAAAAAAAAACAAATACAAAGGATGCTTATTAACTAAAAGAGAAGCTTTGTTCTCATGCACTCAAAACTTTCTTCGTCGGAGTTTATATGTTTAAGTGTTTTTTAAAAGGGAGTTTTAACGAAAAGTCCACGGAACTGTTCACTTTAACGAAAAACCACATTTTTACACTAAAAAGTCAAACCTGGTACTATTCACTTTACCCTTTATTTTGTCTTTATCATTAAAACTCAAAGTTTTCAAGTCTTTTTCATTAGTTTTTTTTTTTTAAATAGTGTTAGAGCCAATGTGCGAGTTTAGAAGATGCGTATCAAACTTACTGTCAAGATATATCCTTTTGGAATTTATGCGAGTTTATATTGCCCATGCACTGGCTCAATTGAGAATCAAACTTACTATCAAGATGTATCTTTATGAAATTTATGCGAGTTTAACCTAAATACATTCCCTAACTTAGTGAAAACACTCACTTCTAGTAGACCTAAAACTAATTTTATCCGTATATATGCTAAAGTCTTGTTGAATAAATAAGGTAAAAGACAAGTTGGACACATTGCTACTAGACCTGAATGTGTTTTTAAATTTTGAGATTCGTGTTTATCAACTATTTAGATTTTAATATTTATACTCATCCAACAGTGTTAAATACGGTATAATGTTAAAAAGACCTTGACCAAAAGCAAAAGCTTTGCCAACATGACCAAGAAAAGATCTTTAAACGACATGACGTAAGTTTAAGCTGAATTGGGCTCTTTGGGCCGGGCTTCAGCTCACCCAATAGCCAATTGCAAAGTCCCGGTTTTCTAATTTTGGCAGGAATAATGTTGGAACTGGGCAGGTTTTAGAAAGAAGGAGAAAGGGGCGGAGGACTTCGCACTGCGGAGGTTGAAGACGCAGGCAGGCGGCGGAGGGCGTCACTGGAATTTTATAATTTCGCCAAATGAGATAAACCCAGCACAATATCAACAATCCCAGATGGCTGGTAACGAAAAATTTCATATTTTTCACTTTGATTTGTTGCGAATTGTTGTAGAATTACTGATGTAATTTAATTTAATTTGGTATAATTTTTGCTGCGAAAAGGGGGATCCGAAAGAGAAGATAAGGTCTCTCTGGAGCTGACGGAGGAAATTATTCAGAGCATGGAAGTTGGGTTAGCTTTCAGAGACTATGTAATTCCTTTTACCGTTCTGTTTCTGATTGTTTTATTTAATTTTATCCGTTGTTATTTGAATCTGAGTATTTGTTTGCATATGTGGGTTATATGCACCCGAGTTCAAATCCGCTTCTCCTCGTATATTAGAATAGTTTAGGATACCCGTCGTGCGTTAAAAAGAAATAAATTTTATGTCATTGTATGAATTTTTATGCGCAGAGTGGTAGAATTAGTTCATTGGACTTTCACAAGGCGTATAGTTATGTAGTGACTGCTAGTGATGACGAGTCGATTCGCCTGTATGATGTCTCCACTGCAACATGCTTGAAGACCATCAATAGCAAAAAGTATGGAGTTGATTTGGTTTGCTTTACTTCTCATCCGACAACCGTTATATACTCTTCCAAAAATGGCTGGGATGGTATGCTTTGCAATTTTTCGCTTGTATCTCAACTTTCGCATTTGATATATATGCTTGTTATCTATGTGTTTACTTAGAATCGGTTAGTTCCTAATGTGATATTATGATTTATTCATTCAGAATCCTTGAGGCTTCTCTCG